TTTGTTGCATTATATTCTTTTTTTGTGGTGTTTCTGCTTCTTTGTTCTGTTTTGTCTTTCTCTGTTTAATTCATGATTTGTGTGCTCTTTCTTGTGCCTTTCTTTATAGTTTTAATGTTTTCATATTCTTCTTGGATTCTCATTCTCTTGGTATGCTGTGAAGTGTTCATTTTCTTTGAGGTTGCCTTATGGTCATTGAATTCTCTGTCCATTTAGTGCAGTCTATTTCATCCTGTAATCTACCTGACCTTCTCATTGTCTGGATCTCTGTTCCTATGTGTTCACCTTCTGTTGCATTATACTTGTTTTGGTCATAGACTGCCCTCCCAGAGTCTCTCAGTTTGTTCTTTTAGTTTTGTTTTGTTAACATTTTTTCTTTCTGTTGACTTAATTCAGGGATGTGCTGCTACATACGTCAATCTCTGGTTGTTGTCTGTTCTTGTTGGTTCTCGCTCCACAGAACTCCCTTTAGGATGTTTTGTAGCGCAGCATTGACTTTGGTGAAGTCCCATAACTTCTATTTATCCTGGAATGTTTTGATTACACCCTCATATTTGATTGATAGCTTTGCTGGATAAAGGATTCTTGGTTGACAATTTTTTTCTTGCAGGGTTTTATATATGTCTCCCCATTGCCTTCTCGTTTGCATGGTTCCTGCTGAGAGGTCTGAGCTTAGTCTGACTTGTTTGCCTTTGTATGTGATCCTTCTGTTTTCTCTTGCTGTTTTCAGGAGTGTCTCCTTGTCTTTGAGTTTAGAGAGCTTGACTATGATATGTCTTGGTGATTTTCTTTTGGGGTCCACCTTCCTGGACTTCGTTGGGCTTCTTGGTTGTCTATCTTTTCACCCTTGAGGATGTTAGAGAAATTTTCTTTCAGTAGTTCTTTGACTATTTCCTCTGTGGACTTGTGTAACTCATTTTATTCTGGAATGCCAGTAATTCTTAGTTTATTTCTTTTCATGTTGTCCGACATGAATCTTAGAACTTCCTCTGAATTTTTTACCCTTTTTTGTGTTTGTTCTTCTATCTTAGTGGTATTGAGAGACTTGTCTTCCAGTTCACTGATTCTTCCTTCCATCTCATCTATTCTACTCCTCTGCCCTTTCAGGGAGTTTTCTATTTCTGCCATTTTGTTGTTGATTGTTTGGACCTCTTTCTGTAGGTTTTGGATTGTTACCAATGCTGTATCTATCTTGTTTGATCGTTCCTGTAGCGCTTTTCTGACTTCTTCCTTATTTTTTCCAGCTCCATTGTAAAGTGTTTTGAGACATTTTATAATAATTTTTATGAATTCTTTCTCAGGTATCTCCAAGGCCTGCCCTCCTTTAGCATGGAGAGAAGGTCTACTTCTGGTTCATTTGTCTCAGATATTTTATCTTTTTTCTGGACATGTGCCGATATGGTCATCTGCTTTTGCTTCTTGGACATGTTTAATGTTTATCTGTGGCCCTAATAATTAATTAAGTATGTGTTTTGGTAATTTTTTATGTTTTCTGATTACCTCCAGTCAGATGTGATCAGGATGTGGTCTTCCCTTTTCACTCTCCTTATTGCTTAACTCAAAGTAACTTTTTTGGGCCTCAGTTGGGCCTGGGCCTTGGCGGTGAGCCGTTTGGGCTTTGGGCGGGTGGGTTGAGCCTAGGGCTGGCAGTTTGGGTGTCTGGGGGCCTGGGCATCAGCGACTGGGCTGCAGGAGGGTTTGTCCTCGGGTGGGTGGTTTGGCCCTTGGGCGGGTAGTTTGGGCCTTGGGCGGGCGGTTTGGGCCTCTGGGGGCCTGGGTATCAGCAGCTGGGCATCGGGTGCCTTGGGCCTCAGCGGGCGGATTGGGTGGATTGGGCCTTGGGGACCGGGCTGAGGGCGGTTTGGGTCTCAGGGGCACTGGACCTTGGCGACCGGGCTACGTGGCGGGTTGGGCCTTGGGGGCCCTGGACCTCGGCGGCTTGGCAGAGGGCTGGTCTAGGCTGGGGCAGTAGAGGGCTGGGGGTAATGCCTTCAGGGAGGTAGTGTCTGTATTTGATGACGTAAAAGATGCCTCTCTCAGTCTCTCTGTACCGTGGGTACCCCAAATTTTCTGATGTCTGCGCCGATATCCCTCTCTATTTGTTCGGCTTTGTTAGTTTATGCTTCTTTTTCTCTGGAAATGCAGCCTTCTAAATGAGGTTGCTCTAGCTCTGCATTCCAAGGTCTTCAGGGGGCAGAGGCACTCGCCAGTGTGGGCGCGGAAGCGGGAGCTGCGTGCAGGCAGGCAAAAGCTCAAAATGCCTGTAATTCCTGAGTAATTTGATCTTTTAAAAAAACGAGTTCAGAATATTGAAATATAAGATCTTATGTTTGTTCAAAGGCTGTCTGTCTGCAAGACAGAGGTTTGCTATGTGTGATTCTGCCCCTTTTCCTCGATACTGCCCTACCTGAGCTGCCCGGTCAGGGAAGCGCCGGAAGTCCTTCTCTCCCCATTATCTTTTAATTCAATTTTTCCACGAACTTTTTGAAGCCCTCCCATATGTAGCTGATCCTGCCAAAAGTACCAAGAGGAGGTAGATGGTAGGGATGGTCTGAGAGTTGGTTTACCGTTTTTAAGGGGCCTGATCTGTAGTGGTCTGCTTTGGGCCAACTTGGAATCAAGCAGATGCCTGCTGTCTGGAAATGCTTCCAGTCTCCACCAGCATTGCTTACCATGGTAGCAATATATGACTTTGGTGGGCTTTATTTTCTTATCTGGACAGTTATCAGGGCCTGAGTACCACCCTGGGGGACTTAGCTAGGAGTTTTCCTGGTGAGGCGTGTCAGGCTTCCAGGTGGACACAAAACACAGGAGAAGGTATGTGGTTACAGGCAGAGTATGTGCCACCGGAGACTCCATTTCACCAAGGAAGCATCCACCAAGGATGTTTCTGCTTTCGCTTGTGGAAAGTGACAGTGTTGGTTTCCTGTCATTGCTGTACAAAGTACTGCAATCTGGGTGGCTTAAAATAACAACTTTATCATCTCATAGTTCTGAAGAGTAGAAGTTTGAAATCAGGGTATTGGAAGGGCCAGGCTCTTTGTAGGATCTAGGGAAAGATCCTTCTATGCCTCTTCCTAGCTTCTGATGGCTTCTGGCAATCCTTGGTTTGTAGACACATCCCTTCCGTTTGTCTCTGTCTTCACTTGGTCTTTTCCCCTTGCATCACTGTCTCTTTCTTCTTATAAGGACACTAGTCATAGTAGACTTATCCAAACATAATAGACCCTATCCAAACAAGGTCATGTTCAGATGCTTCACAGGTACTGGGAGCTAGGACTTCAATATAACTTTTTTGGGGGGCATATTTCAACCTATAAGAGTAGTTAGGTATGATATTCACTTTGTCTTTCAGTGACCAGACTTTGAAGTGTTTGGAAGCTTCTGGAGACAGCCTTACTTCCCCTCACCATATGCCTTCTTTTCTCCTTATAGATAGCAGGAACTGTTGAACTGAATGTTTCCATTTTAACATTGGCCACCTGGAAGCTCAAAACCAAATGCTTGGTTTATGAACAGGAGCTGGATCGAACCTCAAAGCAACAATGGCTAATATTTTTGGAGTGTATTTTGTTTCCGTGCTGTTTCTTGCACTGTGTATGTATCGTCACAATTGATTCATATATAATTGTGAGTAAGGTACCATGGTTTTAAGATAAGGAAGTTGAAGCTTTATGAGGTTCGAGCGCTCACCCATGTTTGCATAACCAGTAGGTACCAGAGCTAGGATTTAAAACTGTTACTCTGATTCTGGAGTACACATTCTTAAACATAAACCTCTACTAACTTTAAGTCTGGAGTCCTGGTGTGGCCCCTTAGGATACGCACTGCATTGCTGACTGAAAGATTGGTGGTTCAAACCCATCAGCCGCTCCTCAGAAACACTATACAGGATCACTATGAGTTGGAACCAACTTGATGACACTTAACAACATCTTTATATCTAGGAACCCTGGTAGCGTAGTGGATTGCACACTGGGATGTTAACTACAAGGTCAGCAGTTCAAATCCACCAGCTGCTCTACAGGAGAAAGATGAGATTTTCTGTTCTTGTAAAGATTTATAGCCTTGGGAGCTGTATAGTATCTCTTATGAGTTAGAATTGACTTTACAGTGTACCACCACCCCATCTTTATATCTGGAGTCCCGGTGTGGCACTGTAGGATAAGCACTGAACTGCTAGCTGCAAGATTGGCGGTTCAAACTCACCAGCCACTCCTCAGAAACCCTATATAGGGTCGCTATAAGTTGGAATCAACTTGACAGCACTTAACAACGATTGTATCTATGCTTTTGCTTTTTATGATTGCGTTATATTATGGAAAGCTATTTGAGATCCTTTGTGTAACAGGGTTGCCCATAATGAATATGCTTGCCCTATACTTGGGTCTCTGGGGTTCCGCCAGCAATGGAACAGAGATTCCAGATGCCTGGAAACAGTGGGCCTGGTCAACAACACCTGATATCCCTGTGGTACCCTGGACTTGGCTGAATTGGAGGAGACCCCCAAGACCAGACGGAAGTTCTCAGTCAAGACCTTGGAGGCTTTTACCTCCTCCTCATTTCATCTGAGCATGATCAGAAAGACCACAGTCAGCCAAAGGCTTCCTCTAACCATTCCTAGTTCATACCTCCCAGGACTGAAGTTCTTTTTTGTGCTGTTTCTAAAGGCAAGTGAGTCTGAGTCAGCTCTTCCAGAATGAATAGCAGCTCCAAGAAGGAGAAGTAGAAGCCCAGCTGACTCTCATCATGGCCTGTGAGCCCCAGATGGATCCTGGAGGGGTGGCCAGCCCATTGCCCACCTCTTCCCCTGGCTGGAGTGCTCTACCTGTGGGAAACCCTCCCGGTTGGGGGCAAGGTAAGATCAGAACCCTTTACTTGTCTCGGGATACTGAATTGAACTCACATAGAATGACTGAGTGGTGGAAGTACAAAAGTCTTTAGATAAGAGTGGGCATTTTGGGATATATTCTTAGGCTACTCCAGTTTCCATCATTCCTACCCAGTTGTCTTTGCTGTCATCGTCTTAGCCTAAACCATTTCACCCTTTGCTTGGACCCCTGTCAGTTTGACTCACGTCATCCAGCTTTGTCTCTTCCTCCATTCTCTACATAATGTTGTGGTTGTTATTAAGTGTCATTGAGTCGATTCCCACTCATAGTGAATCTATATAGGGTTTCCGAGGAGTGCCTGCTGAGTTTGAACCACCAACCTTGTGGTTGAGTGTGTATCCTACAGCACAGTATCCTATGGTACTTTATAAGAGTAAACTTTATTGTCCCACAGTTTTGGAGGCTTGAAGTCCAGATCATTTTGTCTGCATGTTCCTTCTGAAGGCTCTAGGGGGAGGTCCTTTTTTGTCTTTTGTTTATTCCAGCTCCTGGTGGTGGTGGTGGCGGTGGTGTGCTGTGGAGTTGGTTCTGACTCCTAGAGACCCTCCGAGGATGTAAATCTTTATGGGCGCAGAAAGTCTCATCTTTCTCTGCAGAATGGCTAATAGTTTCAAATTGCTGACCTGGAGGCTTACAGCCCAACTAGTAACTGTTACACTGCCAGAGTTCCTTCAACTTCTGGTTAGCCCCAGGAATTAGTGACTTGTATATGCATGTTGCATCCTCTCTGTACAGTCTTAGACCACACCCTAGCCAGAGACATATTTATAAAACGCACATTGGGCTGTGACACTTTCCTTTGGGCTTAGCACAGAAAGCCAGCCTCTACCAGCCTACCAGGCCCCTGCCACAGGACCTTTGCATCTGCTGATCTTTGTGCCTGGCGAACTCTTTCCCTGTCTCCATCCATTCTTTCACCTGCTTAATTTCCATTTATCCTTTGGGGCTCAGCTCAGATATCCTTTCTGTGAGAAATACTTTTTTGATGGCCCAGTGTAAAAAGACTCTTGCAACTCTTGCAACAGAAACAGTGGTAACATTCAGAACAGTGGGGAGGAAATGCAAATCAAGATCAGCCCAAGGCTAATCCTTAATCTACATTCTCCAATTTTTAATTTTTTTTACCAATTCTGATACTAGTTGTCCCTCTGCACAGCATTCTGTACTTTTCTTCAGGGTTCATACCAATCACATGGCCAGCTACAACCTAGGGCCAGACAAAAAGTATCCAACCAAGTTGTTTACAATTTACTCAGGAAATGTCAGTCAACCTGAAGGAACTCTCTGGAGTAGAAATAGGACAAAGGCAAAACTCCTTAGCCTTTAGGGCAAAACTCTCTTCAAATTGTTTTTCCAAAGAACCAAGGCAAAGGGCCACATAAACAAAGTCATTTTATCACACCCGACTTGAATTAGGTCCCTCTGATGTATTCTTAACATTTCCCTAATAGCATTTATCATGGCCCATAATTAAATAACTACCTGAATTGTAAAGTGTCAGGGCTGGCTTCCCCACTAGAATGTAGGTCCCATGAGGGCAAGGGCGCTGTGCTAGTCTTATTTGTCTAGCACAGGACTTGACTCAAAGGAGATGTTCAGTAAGTATTTTCATGAGTATAGGAATGAGCAACTTGGGGATAGGCAAGGGGAAAGACTGGTTTAAACTGTGGAATCCATAGATTTGCAATTTGACTACTTTAAAACAAGGCTTTTTTAAAATTACTATCGTTACTAGGAAAGGAGCCTGGTAGCGTAGTGAATTAAGCATTAGGCTACTCACTGCAAGATGAGCGGTTTGAGTCCACTAGGCGCGCTGCCGGAGAAAGAGAAGGCTTTCTGTGCCTATAAAAGATACACAGACTCGGAAACCTTCTACAGGGTCCCTGTGAGTCAGAGTCGACTCAGTGGCGCACCACCACTATCACCTCCAGCACTATGTTACTAGGAAAGCAGTTTATGCGCGCCATAATAAATTCTAAGAATAGAATGGAATGCAGTCATTTTCCTTCAGAGCTTTGAAGGCACTGCTGTGCTGCTTTTGACAAGCCTGTTCTCGCTCCTTGTAGGAGGTTGCTTCTTCCTTGCTTCTTTGGTAGCTTTTAAGATACCTTTTTTGTTTTTAAACCCTAGATGTAAACAAGTATTTATAAGTGAGAGGACTTGCTATTCTGACTGTAAGAAACTGATGAGTGATACTGTTGCCAGGAATCCAAGAACTGCTGACCGGAAAGGCAAACAAAGATACTGTGAAAGGGCTCTGGGCCAAACAGGTTCCTCAGCAAACAGAGAGCCAGGCCAGGGATGGTACAGATTCCTGACTCCAGGAGCCCACATCAGCATGGCTTTTGATGCTGTGATATGGCGAGTGTACGGGTTTCCTGGGACCACCATAACAAAATACCGCAAACTTGCTACTTTATAAGAACAAAGGTGTTTGTCCCACAGTTTTGGAGGCTAAATGTCTAGATCATTTTGTTGACATCATCCTTCTGAAGTCTCTAGGGGGATGTCCTTTTTTGTCTATTCCAGTTTCTGGAGGCCCCAGTAATTCTTGGCTTATAGATGTATCTCGGTCTGATCACAGCCTCTCTATACAGTCTGAATCTTAGTCCTATAATGACTGTGCGGCACTAAGAGACCAAATTAGACCCAGAATCCAGTACAGATGGGAGGAACGAGAGATGCTCCCTGGAGATCTCCCAGGAAAGCTGAGAAAAAAGCTAGTGAAGCTGAGAAAAGGATTTTCCCCCAGAGTGGAGAGGGAGAAGAGAGAGAACCTTCACCTTCTAAACTCTTAAAATCTGAGAAAATAAATTTCTGCTTGCTAAAACCACTTGAGCTGAGGCCCAGTTGTGAGTAGGACTTACTGGGTGAAGTTAAGGGAGGCATTCCAGAGAGAACAGTGTATGCCAAGGTGGCGCCACAAGACAAGCAGTGGACTGCTAACTGTAGAGTTCTATTTACAGCTGTGAGTCAGAATCAACTTGATGGCAGTGGGTTTTTGTGTTTTGTTTATGAGTGTATTAGGACCCACCCTATGTGGTATGACCCCCCCACCCCCACCCCCAGCCCCCGCAAACGTAAAAATCTAACACACTGCCATCAACTCAGTTCTGACTCATAGTGACCCTGCACAGGGTTTCCGAGCCTGTATATATTTTCGGGAGCAGGGAGCCTCATCTCTTTCCCATGAGGCGCCTGGTGGGTTTGAATTGCCAACCTTGTGGTTTGCAGTTTAGTACTTATCCCACAGTGCCGCCTGTTAATTGATACATCTCCAAGAACCTTATTTCCCATCAAGGTCATGTTCACAGGTACCAGCAGTTAGGACTTAAACACATCTGTTTTGAGGGGCACAATTGAGCCCATGAGAGAGCTAGTCAGAGGCGCTGTCTGGCCGGACTGCCTGCATTTTGTGTGCTGTCTTCCATTCTTACCTTTTGCGTTCTCATTTTTACTTCCTGTGTTCACGTTAGGCAACTTCCTTATCCTTTCAGCTGCTCTGTTTCCTCTTCCATAATAATGGACCCACTTTTCAGGATTATTGAAGGACTGAAGGAAATCATGGATGTGAAGCCCCTTAGCGCAGTCCCTGGTGCCTGCTAATGGCACAGAATGTGGAAACTGTTGCTATCTGGCACCATTTTCTTTTTGTCTAGTTTTCCTTATTCGTTGATTTTTTAAATTTTATAATTTCGCCTTTCTATATTTTGTTTTCAAGCTACTTTAAATTCTTTCTGGAACAAGGCTTGCTGTTGTTAAATGCTGTTGGGTTTCCAAGGAGCGGCTGGTGAGTTTCAGCAACTGACCAAGGCTTTGTTGTTGTTAAGTGTCATATAGTCAGTTCTGACTCACAGCGACCCTGTGTAGGGTTTTCGAGGAGCTGTTGGTAAGTTTGAACCACTGACCTTGTGCTTCAAACAGACCTTGCAATCCAACGCACTATCCTGCAGTGCCACACCAGGACTCCTGACCAAGGTTTGTCGTTGTTAAGAGCCATCAAGTCAGTTCTGACTCATAGGGACCCTGTACAGGGTTTCCAAGGAGTGGCTGCTGAGTTTGAATTGCCCACTTTGTGGTTCAAACCAACTTTGCAATCTAGTGCATTATCCCAAAGTGCTACACCAGGACTCCTAGGTGTAGAAGAGTAAAAATAAATACAAATAAAACAGTGTTACTTTATCATAACTTCTTAGTTCTGACAAGCTTGTGTTTAAATGATAATAACAATGTTGTTGTTGTTAAGTGCCATGGAGTTGGTTCCGACTCATAGCGACTCTATATAGCTGGTGGGTTTGAACTGCAGATCAGTATGGATCCTACAGCGCCACACCAGTAGCGGCCAGTGTTTCAGCATCCATTTTATGCCAGACACACTTTTTTTTTTTTTTTTTTAAGAAATCACCATAATCATTTGGGATGAAGCATTTAGTGGTTTGGTGGTGAATTCTCACCTTCCATGAGGGAGATCCTGGTTCGAGTTCTGGCCATTGCACCTCGTGCACACCTATCACCTGTCTGGCAGGGAGGCTTGTGTGTTGCTATGATGCTGAACTGGCTCAGCAGAGCTTCCAGATTAAACTGAACTAAGAGGAAAGATTCACATTCTGTTTGGTCCTATTTACAGCTGATCCCGGCGATGGTGCAGGCCCATGAAACATGTTCCTCTGTGTCAGAGGTTGCCCTGAGCCAGGCGCTGACTCAGTGGCAGCTAGCAACAGCAACAGTAACAGCAGTGACTGTTTGGGAGAGAGACTTTTCTGTGTGGATCTGATAATCGTCTAAGTGAGAAAAGCAGACCCAGGAGGTTAGGGCACTTGCTAAAAGTTACCTTGGTAGTGAGCAGAGGAAGGCTCTCTGGTAGCATAGTGGTTACAAGTTGGGCTGCTAACCTCAAGATCAGCGGTTCAAAACTACCAGTCATTCATTCTGTGGGAGAAAGGTGAGGCTTTCTGCTCCAGTAAAG